CCCCACCCCACCCCATCACAAGGCTGGGACCGCCGCGGGTCAACTGGCGGCCGCCGTCGACGCCGCCTTCGGCGGCGCCAGCGGCCGCGGCCGCGGGGGCGCGGCAGCGGGCCCCTCGGGCGGCGGCGCTTGCAAGGGGCTCGCGGCGGCCGGGGCGCCGCCGCCGCAGGAGAGGGTATTGCTTGTCGGGCTCCACGCCTGCGGCGACCTGACGCCGTTGCTGCTGTCGGTGTATGCGGGCTGGCCTGCCGCCGTTGCGGCCGTCTCGGTGGGCTGCTGCTACAACTTGCTGACAGAAGCGCCGAAGGGGGCCGGCGACGGCAACAGCAGCGCCGGCGGCAGCGGCAGCGGCAGCGGCGCTCCTGAGCAGATTTGCGCGTGCGGCTTCGCGCTCGCCGATGAGGGGTGCGACGGGCCTGGAGCGAAGGGCGCTTGGTTTGGCTGGCCGATGAGCGCTCACCTGAGAGCACGCGGCGGCGGCGGCGGCGGCGGCGGCGGCGGCGCGGCGACGCCCGCGCCCCTCGGCCGCCACGGGCGTCTGCTTGCTTGCCAGTCGCGCGAGAGCAGCCTGGAGGGCGCGAGCGGCGCCGCGCTGGAGGAGACCCTGAGGAGCCACTGCCTGAGGTCGGCCTTCCAGCTGCTGCTGCGGGAGCGGTGGCCCGAAATGGACAGGTCGGGCGGCGTTTCGGTCGGCCGCGACCGCAAGCGCAAGTCAAAGCGCACTGCCATGGGCGTCGCGCCGGGCAGCGAGGCGGCGACGGCAGCTGGCGGAGCCGCGGGAAACAGCGTGGGCAGGCCTGTGTCAGAGGCAGCGACACCGGGCGACGAGGAGTGGGTGGCGTATGCCATGCGCTGCCTGGGGCGGGTCGGCCTGGAGGGGCAGCTCGCAGAATTGGAGCTGGCCTCGTTCTGGCGCGGGGGCGGGGGTCGCTCTGGCTGCAGCAGCAAAGCGGGAGGCGGGGCGCGCAGCTCATGTTGTGGCGCTGACGATGGCGGCAGCGGCGGCTGCGGCGGCGGCGGCGGCGGCGGCGGCAGCGGCGGCGGCAGCGGCAGCGGCAGCGGCGGCAGCGGCGGTGCGGCGAGGCGGCCGCTGTGCGACCGGCTGGCGCTCTTGCCCGCGGTGTGGTGGCTGCGCATGTGCGTGGCGCCCGTCATAGAGACCCTCATCCTATTAGACCGCTGCCTGTTCCTGGAAGAAGCCGCAGAAGGGGGCGGCAGCTGCCCACTGCCTGGCACCGAATCAGCTGCCCGTGACAGCTGCCAGGGGCATGCCTCAAGGTTCGCCGCGCCTGGTTCCGGCGGCGGCGGCGGCGGCGGCTCTGTGCGCATGGCAGTGTTGTTCGACCCGCGGGTGTCGCCGCGCAACGTCGCAATCGTCGCCCAAAAGCCGAGCTCCGGCTCCCGGCTCCATTGAATTTGCGGGTTCACTTCACACTAGAGGTGATGCAGCGTCACATTGGCGTCACCCGTTTTGTGGTGTCCCTGAACCGGCCGTTGATTCGCCTTTGCCAGAATGAGCCTGTGGCCGGGGTTGCGCCAGACGCCTTTGCGGCAAGAACGGAACACCTGCTGCCGCCCCCGTGGGCAGGCGGCTGCAATACTATTTTCAGCACACCAGCGCTGGTGCCGCACGTGCACACGACCACTCCAGAAACGGCCATGCGCGCCGCGCGCGCACGCTCGCCATTGACTTTGAACTCAAGCCCTGAGGCTTTGAGCGTGCAGGCGTTGTGGGGTGCTGGTGGTGTTATCCATGCGTTGTTGTTGCGTTGTAAATTGACTGATTTGATCCTCAACACTGGCGGCCCTCAGACCGGTTCTGCATGTGGGCGTGCGCGGCAGTCAGTCCTGCGCAGCTGACCTCCTGCACAGCAAGAGGGCCAGATCGCGTCGCACAGGTTGTCGAGGGAACGGCGTGATCTGCATGCGCGTGTGTTTGGGCAGGCGCCTGTAACTGGATGTCTAAGGAGGTGACAGAGCGTTGATGACTAACAATGTAACGAAGCGAGCGGCTGCGGGGCACGTTTACAGCGCTCTTTTGCGCAGGTGGGCACCTGTTTCATGGGCGCGCTGCTCGGCGACTAGAATATGCATAGTGAAACCAAGCCGTGGCGCGGCATGTTGGCAGTGCACGGCAAACCTGGAGTCGCAACGCCATGTGTGACTCAAGTGACAACCCAAACCATAATCAAGCATCCTTCACCCTCCTCTCTGTTCCCTTTGACTAAGATCATGATTTCGAGGATGCAGATCAACTCCTGCATGCCTTTACTTACCGGCCCGGCAGTATTGGGATGGGGTCACCTGGTGCTACTCAGAGGCGTGAACAGCGCAGTGACGACGTGCGAAGGTGACACTGCTATGCGTGGACAGGCCTGGCCTTGGGGATACTGACGACTAGTTATGGACATTCTCTATCACAATTAATGATCAGAAGGCCTGGGTATGGGCAACGGTCCTTTTGGGTCCTCGCTGGCCAGCCCGTGCGCCGTGCCGGGGATCGACGTCGGCCGTTGTCATCGCGTTTGCCGTCTCGGGTGATTTGAATTGGTAGATCCGAACTCGTCCACCCGGACGTTACGTGGCGACTGCGTAATGGGGCTGTCCGCGGCGCCCCTGGCGCCCCTCGCAGTCGTCGGCGTCGCGTGCCGCTTGCCGGGCCCGATCAGCTCCCCCTCCGCCCTCCTGGAATTCCTGGCCGCCAAGCGCTGCGCGCTGTCCCCGGTGCCCCCGGGACGCTACCCGCCCGGCGCGCTGTCGCCGGCCGCCGCGGCCCTGCGGCTGGGCGTGCTGCCAGAGGGCGCCCCGCAGGCGCTGGACCACCGGTTCTTCCGCGTCAGCCCGGCCGCCGTCGCAGACATCGACCCGCAGCAGCGCATGGCCCTGGAGGTGGGCCCTGCGCTCATGTGCGATCTTTCATGCATCATCGCTTGCCTGACAGGACTGGTGTCAAGCGGCTTGTCAATCACGGCGCCAATAGCGCCGCCGGTGCCGGTCAACTGGACTTGCCGGCCAAACGCGCCGGCCCCGCCTCAAAAGGCCAACCCGCGTGCTCACAGACTGCCTGCGTCCTGCGCACATAGGTTATCTGTATAGTATCTGATCGCAGCTGGCTTTTAGCAGATCGCAGGCGGCGTCAGAACAACACGACTGCAGCCCACGCGCTTTTGCGTCTCGATGCGGCAGTCCGAAGGACCACACGTGCGCGCAGCGCCCGGGCCGATCTGCACCAGCCTCCAAACCCCATGATGACATCGTCATGCGTCACACCCACCTTCCTCCCTTTCCCAACCCCCAAGGTGACATATGAGGCCCTGCAGGACGCGGGGCTGTCGATGGAGAGCCTGAGGGGCCTGGACGTTGGCGTCTTCGCGGGCGTGGGGCTGCCAGAGTTCCCCATCCAGGACGGAGCGAAACCAGGGGCGGTCGGCACAGTCGGTGGCACATACGGGTGGGTGGCGAGTGAGAGGGGGAGTTGCACTTGTGCAGCGCTCTGCGGAAGTGGCAGGTGTTTGCGCAGAGTGACGATGCTGCGATGGAGCAACACGCAGGCGGGATCACGTATCGCCCCATCTTCTCGACACGTTCCCCCTTGGTATATCCCTTTCTCACCCCTCTTTATGTGCTGCTGTTTGATCAACGCACGGCTGCACTTCGTCAGGTGCTTTATTCCAAACCGCGTGTCACACTTCTTCGACTTCACCGGCCCCTCTGTCGCCCTCGACACTGCCTGCTCGTCGTCCCTCACCGCGCTGCACATGGCGGCCAACAGCCTGCGCGCCGGGGACTGCTCCGCCGCCATCGTGCTGGGTGAGACAGCGCGACAGCGGCCGCATGGGTGGGGTGGGGGGCGTTCGCCGCTCGCATTGTCATAGGTGCTGATTGCACCCGGGAATCAGGGCCCTTCCCTGTCTCCAGTAGCCTGCTGACGCCGCCCACACCAAATACCCTGTGTCTGCGTGCGGCGCCAAGATCAGAAACGTGTCATATTTCAGCTTTGGACCTCCTGCCGTTTGCCCATGCTGGTGGTGGAATTCAAACCCAATTCACCGCCCGCTGCCGCCAGGGACGACCGCCCTGCTGTCCAGCTACGTCCTCCTGGGAGCCCTGGCCAGCGGCGCCGTCTCGCCGACCGGCGACTCGCGCCCGTTCGATGCAGCAGCCAACGGCTTCGTGCGCGCCGAGGGCGCCGTCGCCATACTGCTCGTGCCCGTCGGCCCCTGCAGCCTTGAGCTCGGGGATGCGCTGGGCGGGGCGGCGCTGCGGCCGTACGGCTACATCGTGGGCAGCGGGGCCGGCGCGGACGGCGCAAAGCCGTCGGCGGTCGCGCCGTCTGCGGCGGCGCAGCAGCGGCTGATGCGGCAGGTACACAAACGTGCGGGCGTGGACCCGGCTGATGTGTGCTATGTGGAGGCCCACGCGACAGGCACACCCGTCGGTGAGAGCAGGGCGTTAGGCAGACAGCATAATTGGACTGCTGGACACATATGCCGTCTCCCTTGCTGCTGCTGCTGCTGCTGCTGCTCCTCCTCCTGCTGCTGCTGCTGCTCCTCCTCCTCCTGCTGCCGCTGCTGCTCCTCCTGCTGCTGCCGCTGCTGTTGCTGCCGCTGCTGCCGCTGCCGCTGCCGCTGCCGCTGCTGCTGCTGCCGCTGCTGCTGCTGCCGCTGCTGCTGCTGCCGCTGCCGCCGCTGCTGCTGCCGCTGCTGCTGCTGCCGCTGCTGCTGCTGCCGCTGCCGCCGCTGCTGCTGCTGCCGCTGCTGCTG